TATTTTTCATCGTTTTCAAGGAATGTTTTTCTAATAATTTATATTATTGTTTTGTTTTGTTTTTTTCTTTTTTACGAATCGCTCGCGCGCCCGACGTTAAACACCGCGTCATCGCCTCGACGGTACGTCGTTTCGCGTTTTTTTTTTTTTTTACAACGATCACAATACGCGGCGATTCGCGTGTACGTGAAATAACGGGGCGGCGAGGCGCGATGACGACAAACGATATTGTACCGATTATTAAATTTCGTCCTCGGGGGAAACGACACGCGGCGAACCGCGGCCACCGCCCAATTTACCGTAAAGGATATAATAAATAGGCCAATGCGCGCAATTATCATATTCTTTAAAAAAAAAAATTGTTACGCATATAATATACAAAATGCGCGCGCCGCAAAAACGGAGTTATCGACGCCGCAGGGCCTATTTTTTTGTGCGAAACACGCCACATTCGTGTGTAATACGAAATCTGTTGCGTGTAGTACGAAATTAAAAAATGTGTAGGGTGTTATGAAAAAATATGTCTAAACCGTGTCGTTATTAGTATGATAGTATCTTTTAAACGTTTAACAAATTCAGAATAGGTACATCGAAGAGATCCGATCAAATGATGTTTTAAAACTTGTTATCTCTGTTAGAATTAGATTACTGGCTTTGAACAAGGAATACTCAACACTATATAATGTAATATATTTTTTTGAAATTTACATCTTACATTGCCCGTGCACATTTCTCCTCGATAAAGTTTAAGCCTGGAAATATTTGTTAAAGAAAAAAAAAAAAAAAACAAAAAATTGTAAACACTTATGAACGGCAGAAAAATTAGCGAAATAACTGATGTTCAAGGGTACGGGAACGAATCGTATTTTGCGACCGCGAATTAAAATGGCGAAAACTAAAAAACGTGTAACACGAAATGTCGCGAAAAAAATAGGCCCTGACCGCCGGGCCGTCGCGAAACGGCGTCTGAGTAGGATTTATAATATTAATACTGTGCCGAACGGGGCCGTTGCAATAATTAATAAATTAAAATGGCCTGAGGCAGGCGGGCGGGCGCGGTGCGCGAAAAGTCGGATGTGGGACGCGGCATAACGCACAGCGGTACGCACACGGGATAATCGGTCGCCGGTGGGCTTGGATTGTACTCGTCACGGCCGCGGGCGGGTCCCGAGAAGTCCGGGAAAATCCCCTTAGTTCCCTAAAGTTCCCCTAAACCGAACCTCGCCCCCCCCCATCGCCGATATCCTCCCTCCCGAACCACTACCGTCGATAAATCTGCAGCCGAACGTTGCGATAATCACAAGCGTTTCCCGTAAGCAATACACGTTAAATCGCGACACGATCGACCGCCGCTAAACGAAAAACGACTCTGAGCGGAGTGCGATTGTGTTGCCGCCCCGGTACAATCGCGAGGTAAACGAATCTGCCGTGAACAAATCTAAAAGAGGAAAACGTTTACGCGAACATCGGTCGTGTCGGATTAGCGGCCGTTTAATCGCAAAGTCGGCGCGTGCAGCGAGAGTCCAATACTACCGAATAGTTACAAAAGACCGGTCTGTTATTTTTTTCGTCCCGAAACGATTTTCGCGGTTTTAGATCGGGCTTTTTTTTTTTTTTTTTAATTCCTCGTTTACATAATAACGTTTATTAGAGGTAAATTATTATTTTCAACATACGACCGATATTGTCAAGTGCGTTGTTTTGTGACACTCGGGAAATTTACCGAAAAAAAAAAAAAAAAAAAAAAAAAATAAAAAAAAAATACTTTGTCGTCGCAGCCACGGCAAGAGGACGCCAACAAACTAGGTAATCGTGCATTATATTATGTTATTATTACTACATCGTATTTCGACGGGACACATTGTGCAACAATGAACCGTTTTTTTTTCTCCCGTTCTTTTGTGACTAATGTTTCGGTATTTAANAAAAAAAAAAAAAAAAAAAAAAAAAAAATGTCCACAATACCTGTGTGTTTACACTATTATAATGCTAATTTCGGTTGTGTGGCGTATGTGAGGTTTTCTCTCTCTCTCTCTCTCTCTCTCTCTCTCTCGCTCTCTCTCTCTTTCTATCTATCTCTCTCTCTGTCTACTTCACAGTGTTGACAAAAGCGTCATACGACTGAATAATTACTGCGTGTGGTTTTTTTTCCGTCATTAATATTCGTGCTTGGCAAAAAAAAAAAAAGTAAAAAATAAAAAAAAAATACTTTGTCGTCGCAGCCACGGCAAGAGGACGCCAACAAACTAGGTAATCGTGCATTATATTATGTTATTATTACTACATCGTATTTCGACGGGACACATTGTGCAACAATGAACCGTTTTTTTTTCTCCCGTTCTTTTGTGACTAATGTTTCGGTATTTAAAAAAAAAAAAAAAAAAAAACGCGTATTATATACTCTTTTCCTGAACTTCCGAGACGAACGTAAAATACGCACGGATAAAAAACACCACAATGCGCGTCTAAAAGTTTGAAATCGATAATCCGAAAAATCACTTTAAAAAATTGAACGACTTGTCAAATGATAACCTAAAATGACATCCTAGGATGATGGGGACGGGCGCAGCCACTGTTATAGGTAATTTAATGTATACCCGTAAGTAACGATAAACCGGATTGCTGAGCGGATTTCAGTTGGTAGTGTTGCTTTGTCAACAATATTATCAGTAAAATAATTATAATACATGCGTTAAATATTTTCTTTAATAAAATATTTGTCTAATGTGCCAATCTTTCCAATTTTCTACGTTTTTCCCGATTTCCCCATGTTTTTTCTCGGTTGTCCACATATGCTGGGAAAAATCCTGAGAAAATCAAAAAATGGCCTCCCTAAAGTACTTTCCAAGTCAAATTTCCTTTTAGAAAAAATTCTATCAAACCAGAGCAAAATTGCTGGTAGAAGAGTTGTCCACAGAAAATAACAAATAAAAAAATAAACATCTTTGTAAAACCAAAAGCTCCTTCACTCCACTCGGAATTTAAAATCGGTCAATTTGACCGACTTCGCGGTTTTCGGAACATTTTCTCGGGAGTTGCGAACGATCTCCACCGTTTTCCTTCTTGAACTTCTCTAGCTTGACGGTCTCTGTAGGACCTGAGCTGTCACAAGCAATTCTCTCCGTCCTTCCCCACGCCACACTTCCGTGGACGTTTCTCTTTTTTTTCTTTCTGCGTCGGTACGATTACGCGATTTCGTCACGGTGTCGACATAAACAACCCCAGAAAAGGACAGGCCAGGAGTAAATTTTAAACGAAACATTTTTTAAATACATCATTGATATCTAGACAAAGACGAGAGATAATCGCCAGAACAACACTATTCCATATTAATTCCATATTTTAACATTACGGTGTACGATTAACACAACTACGGCGAGCCGAGTGTACGTCAATTTTCCAGTAAGAATTCATCGGAAATATTACGGAACCGTACGCGAATTTCAAACCGGGTTTTTGTTTTTTTTTTCCAATGACTGTGTAATAAATGTTCCGGTAAGACTCGATGTGGCGTGATAATGATACACGTATATTAGCCGGCGTGCCGCATCGTATTCACGTATCGGTATGACCGACGCGATCAGTACGAAAATAATAATAATAATAAAAAAAAAAAAACTTCCGGAATAATCGCTGCATACGCGTACAGGACGGGGGGGGGGGGGAAAGAAAAGATTTTCCGATCGAGGTTTTTTTTTTTTCCCCCCGTCTGTATCGTTTCTCGCGGCGAAAACTAGAACGCGGTCGCGAGGCTGTTGTTCCGCCGGCTTGCGCTCCGTAGATTCGCACAGTTTTCATTCTCTTTTTATTATTATTAATTTTTTTTTTTTCCAACTAGGTACCCGCGGCTGCGTACGATATTTTCGACGGTACGATATATTCACGGCCCGTAACTATGAAATATAGTAAATTATATTTATTGTGCCCGTACGGTAAACGACGTTATATGGGTATGTAGGCCGGGGCCCCGGAGAAACGGAGCGAATAAACGTCCGCAGCGTGGCACGGCGTTGAGGCGCCCGCTTCCGTCGTGTTTTTTATTTGTTTTTTTTTTTTTATGCATACAATATTGTATTGTATGTTATTATACACGGGGATATACACGTCTATGTTATTATCGGAGTGCGCGGTATCGCCGGCAGCGTTTTTCGGTACGCCGTATATCAAAACAAACGCGTACCCCCGTACGCGTAGTATTTTATTACGTGCGCGTTAATATGCATTATAAATTGCACGTTGCGTGCCATCATTATGCGGGGACGGGTGCAGCCGCCGTTGTGGATGGGAAGTTGGGAAGGTGGGATGCGCAAGGGTATTCAACGTACGTCTGCGAGCAGCGATAAACCGTTGTTAACGGAAAAACGACTACGAGCCGAGTTCAGTTGCCATAGTCGTGGTAAAATAATTTAAACGGGCGTTATTATATTTTCTTTGATAATATTTCGTTCGATGTGTCGACTTCTCCGTTATTCCTACGTTTATTTTTCCCGGTCTTTCGTAGACGACGACAAAAAACTCAAATGCGAAAATCGGAAAACGACCTCGCCAACGCCGACCAACCGGACGCGCGCGGTCGAAACGCGAAACGCGTGTTGTGGATGTGTCGTTCCGTTGAGAACCCCCCGGTCAAACGTTTTCGTATCGAAATTTTCAAACCGAACAGCGGCGACGCCGAACCGTTTTGCCGGACGCGTTCGCGCGCCGTTTTCACATTTTGACAGGGCGACGGCGGCGCGCCGCACGCGAACGGCAACCGGACGTCGATGCAACGGCGATCTCGGTCGGTCGGGTTGTCGCGGGTAGTTGGGTGCCCTCGACGACCCCCGTTACGGGTCGAGAAAATCTCGTCGGCGGTAGGCGGCCGCGCGGCGGCACGTTCCGCGATCCGCGGCGCGGTCTGTGTTCGCGATTGTCACCTGCCGCGGCGGTTTACGCGCCGGGGGGGAAACCGTTTTGGTTCTGCACGCCGTCCGCCGCGCGCGCGCGCGCAACGTTATGGTAAAAAAAAAAAAAAAAAACAACAAACGCGCGCTGATTACCCGGCTGTTCCCCGGCCGCTACGAAACGGCAACCTTGAACTATAATTGCGTTGCGACGGACAACAGTGCGATGAACCCGGGCGCGGGAGGAGCAGTCGGATTTCGCCAAACCCGAACGCTACGCGCGGCGGCCGGTAAACGGCGTCACGGACAACAATGTGTTGTTTTTTTTTTTTTTTTTTTTTCTTTACTTTTCGCACGGTACACGCAATTTTCGGGCGGGGTCGCGTGTGATCGGTCCGCGACGAACGCCCCCGGCGCCGTTTTTCGAATGTTTCCCTTTTTCCCCTGTTTTTCGCCCGGAAATCGCGTGAATCGGCGTAAACGCGTATCGCCTCCCGCTCCCTTCCACCCATCGGATCGGAATAAAACACCCCGAAACCGTGACGACGGGAAAAAAACACCCACGACAAAAAGGGGCTCTTATCCCCCCCCCCGGCTCTCACCGCCCCGTTATCGGAACGGTATGACGACTGTACAACGACGAATGGCCGATTATTGCGCGCGGCTGTGCAACGTTCCGAAGTCAATGTCCAGGATACGGGGACAGCGTGAGAGGGGGGGGAGGAGGGCTCCCGATATTTCCGATCGAGGTGCGCGACGGTTGTCGGTCAACATATTGTAACGATACGTACGCACGTCGATCGTAAAATTGACGTTAATAAAAAACGACGCGCCCGATCCGCGACGGACGCATAATTCGGGTGAATTTTGAAAAAAAAAAATAGCGCGTTAATCGGCCGAAAAAATCGACACCCCGCGCGAAACGCTTTTCTATTTTCGACGCGGTCACGCGCGACGACTTATTAATTATGTTCGTATTACAACTGTTACCGGCGCATTTATATTCGTCGATTCGTTCGACTTTTAGCGAACCCCGCGGATTCCCCTATATGCCATACGGGAAGAGTGGGATGGGGGGGGGGCTGAGGGCGAAACGGCGTACAATATATTAATGACGGGTGCCGTCTCGTAAAGACCACAACCGACAAACAACCGTCAAATGCACAAATGATTATTGATCAGAATGGCGGATTCGCGACGACAAGCAACGACAAACCATTGCTCAAGGAAAAACAATACATGCGTCGTTTTATAGGAAAATAATTCAATAGGCTTTATATATTTTCTTTAGTAATATTTATTTTAATTTTGTATCGATTTTCCCAATTTTCCTACATTTTTCCCGGTTTTTCACATTTGTTTAATTTGCAAAAAATGACCTCTCCAAAGTACCTCTCCAGTGAAATTTCCTTTTAGAAACATTACTATCATTAAAAGTTAGAGCAAAATTGCTGGTAGAAAAGTCGTGCACAGAAAAAAAAAATAGTAATATTTCGGTACGTGATATATTTCGTACATTTTCCTGGTTTTTTCGGTTTTTCAAATTTAATAAGAAGTCTCTCGAAAAAATCGAAAAATGACATTTTTCAAGTACATCCCCACACCGATTTCCTTTCAGAAAATGTGCTACGCTTAGAAATCCGAGCAAGTCTTCTGGTAGAAAAGTTGTTAACAGATAAAAAAAAAAATCAAAAAATTAAAAAAAAAAAACATCTTTGTATAAAACCATAAACTTTTTCGTTCCACTCGGAACCAGAAAAAAAATTCAAAACACAACACATTTGCGGGCAATCGCGGAAATCTTTTGGTACCTAATCTTGACGGGAAAACTTGTTGGAAATTTTGGTAATCTTCGGAAAAACCGTATAGTATTCCGGGATCCGACGTACGCAATAGTAATCGGTGGTTTTCCCTCCGGTTATTCCGAAGTATGTACGATATCGGTAATTTTTTCGTTATTATTTATATTTTTATTTTTTTTTTTTTTTTATGTATATACATTCTAGCCGGACGTCTTTAACTCCGTTTTTATTATTATTATTTTTTTTTTCCGTTTACTCGGATCTCGTGTTTCGGAAAAAAGAAACGGAATAGTCAAAAGAAAAAAAAAACCGATTTCCGCGCTGTCACAAAAAACAATATCGAATATCGATTTTTTCGGTTTCGTTTTTTCGTTTTTTTAACTCTGACAAAAAATAATAATAATAAAAAAAAAAAAAAAACTTATCAACGACAAGATGCTAATACTAAGTTAACAGTGTGCATAGGTTACTAACATCTCGCGTTCCGGGGAACGGGCGTCCCGTCCGTGTCCGGGGAGCTCTGTCCGCGCGACCACGTCCGTCCGCGGGGCGACGGAGACGCGTCGCGGTTTCGGCGCGCCCGGAGATTTCAATGCTGGGCCGTCGGCGTCGTCTGGTCGCGGGAGAAAAAACGCCCGGGCGAGCGGCCGAGGGGGCCCGGGGGAAAAAAGATGCGGGGCTGGATGGCGGACGGCAGAGGAGAAACGGCGGGCAGTGAAAATATCGGTTATAAATATCGGAAAACAAAAAAAAAAAAAAAAAAAACCAAAACCAAAACTTAACGAAAGAACCACCGAACGATTTCCGGGGTGGTGGGTAGGGGAGGGAAAGAAAAAATAAAAAAAACACGGAAATACTTACGAGATCGGCGCGGGCGGTGTTCTCGCGCGGTTTTTGACGGGGTGACGGCGGTCGGCGTGTGTTCACGGTGTATCCATGTGCACGAGCGTCTCCGGTATATCGCGGCGTCAAAAGAAGAAACGGAGAGAAAAAAAAAAAAAAAAAAAAAAAAAACGGAACGGAACGAAACGACGAAAAATGAAACGGACGACCGGACGACGGCGGACGGATTCACAACGGATATAAATCCAACTGTCGGAGAAAAAACAAAAAACAAAAAAAAAAAACCCGGAAAAACCGACGACGGATCCCGAAAATCCAAATGCGGTGTTTCCCCGTGTGCGGGCGGCGCGTGAATCGTTTTATTCGGCGCGCGTGTGCGTTGCTGCGTGTGCGTCGACGGCGACTGCGGGACGGCGTACCTGATCGCGGCCACTGCGTGCGCGGAGTTGCGTTACTGTACTGATACTCTCGCGCGCGACCACGGGGCACGGAACGCGACTGATAATATTATTATTATTATTATTACCACTGAAACCGGCGCGCACGCACGCCACTACTCACCGCCGCTGCAGTCTGCTACTACTTCCTAGGCGAACGCGACACGGCCGACTGCAGTCGCTGCGGTTGCCGTAACGTCGCGGCGGCGGCGGCGGCGGCGGCGGCGTCTGCCGTACGACGATTGTTATTATTACGCGGTATTATTATTGTAATAGTCCGCGGGTACGCGACGCGCGTACGGTCGCGCGCGAGCCGCGGCCGCGGCGGCGGCGGTGGGGCGCGACCGCGGTTTCTCCCGCCGCGCGCGAGATCGTTTGCCGCCGCCGCCGACGCGTCCCGGGGTGGGGGGTCGGCGGCGGCGGCGGCGACGCGCGCGTGACGCGGTGCCGCCGCGGCCGCCCGTAGTGACGCGACCCGAAGACGGACGGGGTACGAGTGCCGGGCGCGGTACCAGAGCGAGGTTAGGAATAAAAAAAACAGGATTACGCAGGATAACGGGTGCAGCACACGGGCGCGGGTCCGCCGTTGTCGTAGGCCGGCGTTTTCGGCGTGCGCCGATTTTCAATCGGACCGGTCCGTCGGCCGCGCCGCGCGACGCGCCGCGCGTGACGCGCTCGGATCGGCGGAACGTCAGGCGAAGAGGAGCCCGTCGGTCCGACGGTTTGAAAACTGCGTTCCGAGCGCGCGATCCCGCGGGGTGCTTCGTTCGCCCCGACCCGCTTCTCCCCGTTCCGCGTCGCCGGCGTTTTGAATGCCGCACATCGGCCGTTACGATTCCAAATACATTTCGACTGCAATTGACCTGACACGCCGCGTGTTAAGTTCGGTTAACGGCGAATTCAACTATCCGCGGTACCGTTTGGTTAATACCGGACTAATATCAGTAAAAATTTTGAAATTAAAATTAGTAAAATTCGTTAAATAGCCGACAACAATTGAAATCCGCGTTTCAATAAAAATTATTTCGACTTGAAGACTCGGGGTACGAGAGACGACCGCAACGCAATCAAACCTTATAAAAAAAACAGGACAATGAGGTCGGGTTTATGTTTAATGTATACCTGCGGTATAAATAACGATAAAATTATTTTAACCAAAAAAAAAAGAAACGATTCTGAGCGGAGGTCAGTTGATAGTGATGCTTGGTCAAAATGATAAAATGTTAAAACGATCACAACAATGTGGCCGTTCCACAACAACAATGATAGTTTTTAAAAAAAAAAGATTATAGTATAGATAACAAAAAAAATGTGGCGTTCGCGCGGGACACTTTTGCGCTGTTAGTGACGATATCATATCACACGCACGGTGAATCGGTCTGTTACGAAATAATTTACAGATAAGAATATCATTATAAGAAGTATCGAGCGAGAAACCGGGCGAGTACTTGTGCGACAATGTTGTACGATTTCACAACGGGTTTATCTCGTTCGAAAATTCAAAATGCATATTATCGGAAGAGCATCGCGCCGCAGATAATGTTCTCGGTCATTAAGTTTCGCAACACTGTCGTTGACAACAAATGATATTATTTTACGATAAAAAAACCAACGACAAATGGCGTGTACGAAAATTCGAGACCGTCCCCTTGTTAACAAACAGCAACCGTTAATTCGTGAATATTTCGACGTCAGGGTCGTTCCTTTCCCACTATCGAGACATGTTTATCAGAAAAAGAACAAGAAAAAACGACCTTCCCGACGTCTTCGGGACGTTCGGTTATTGTAAATTTGTCGACGCCATCGACCCCGGTTGGTCACCACGCTCTGGTGGGCGTTTTAAATTACAAATTGAAACCGTTATCTCCGTTATTTCCGTTTACGATTACAATACGGTAACTCGACGCCTTTGACTTTATTCCTTTGATTTTATGACAGTTACCGTGTAAATTTTCACGTGGAATCACGTGCAAACTCTCATATTATAATTATACATTTATTACGGACTTTGAAAACAAGTATCACAAGTGTAACTCATATAACCAGTGGCGTGACTTCTAGATCGAAAACGAAGGGCCGACGAGCGAGAAAAAAAAAATCCTGTCCAATAATGCCTTGAGCCGTGGTTTGGCTTGGCCTCTAAATGTCGTGGGCCCGTGGCGTTTGCCCACCTTGCCCTCCCGGTATTTACGCCGCCGTATAAAACCGAACTCCGTGCTCAGAATAGTTTTTCGTTAACAAAGATCGGACGCATATTATACAACGCATATACGTAAAATTTCCCCTGTGCGTTCCCAACTTCTCGCCTACAACGCAGTGGTCCACAGTGCGAAATATGTTCGGTCGGATAATTATTTTAAATCGACTTTTGCAGTTACGGTTAGGTTCCGTATTTTTACATACAAGTTTTTAACTTTTACTGCACTTTATGTACCGCAAAATATCTTTCCGCGGGTATTTTAACGCGTACCGCACGTCCCGTTTCGTCTTAAAAAATTCTGTGTATTATAAATACACAGAATTTTATTTTGTTTTGTTTTTTCATCCGTGAATTTTCGCTCCGCTTTTCCATTTTTTCTGATTGGAAATCCGCCTGGGAGATTTTAGGGAGATCATCGTTTTTTTAATTTAATAATACCTATTGTGCAGTATGCGTGCATATTGTGTACCAGGGGATACTTATCGACATTCGTGCAGTTTTTAAAGTATATGTTTTTCAAATAGTTTTAGGTTTTATACGCTATCGCCATTCTTATAATTTTAGAAATAGTTCGAAATATTTAGATTATCAACTTTAGCAATACTATTGCTCTTGACATAACATCTGAGTTTTCGAAAAAACGCGTCGCACTATTATTATTATTATTATGATTTATTATATCAGCTGCGTAGTACCTAGTCGCGTTTTCCGGCAATAGAATATTACCGATAAACGGGAAAAAAATTCATCGGCGAATCGGATAAGGGTAAAGTGTGTTAAAATCCATCCCCGGACAACGCTCGTAAACCCACAGATATAAAAAATAAATAGCCGACTTTGGTATTATTATTGTCACCAATAAAATGGCCGTCATCCTTATCTAAGAGGTGAATATTTATATTTTATAGTATTGATAAGGAACGATGTTATAATGTTTAAATAATATGTACATTTTACATATAAAATATTGAACGTTTTATAGCCTTATAAAAAAGTATCTGATCACTGGAGCTTAGGTTTATATGTAAATACATATTTTCACTGAGACTCGATAATTCCATTTACGTAATCCAGTAATTTTAAATGATATTAACTATATTTTTTGATTCCACATATTTACATTTCTTACATTTTTCGCCACAAACGCATATTTCTTACATGTTTCTCAATAATTCTATTTCTCCTACATATTTAGGCAGTTTGTTTTTACACGAATACTTTTATACCATTATATTCATCAATATAAACAATTTTTCGTATGTTTCCAAAAATACGCAACAGTAAATTGATAAAATAAAAGAAGAGGGACTATAAGACATAAAAAAAGAAAAATTAGCGTATTTTGCAATTATTGAACTCATCCCGACCCATGGCGGGCTTACACAACTCTCACGCCCATTTTCTAACATAATTTCCGTAAACAATCACTACCTACTTGCAGGCTAACTTTGCTTACATAGTACCTACTATAGTAGATAGTATTTATTTTAGATTCTAACATTATGGTTACTACCCTGATTCAATTACGATGATTTGTTGGTTCTTTTTCTGTATACGAACAACTCTTCTACATCAATCTTGCTCCAATTATCAACTACAGAAGCGATGGTTCCTAGTAAAATGTATTGTCTCGTTGGTGCA